TCCTTCCCCGGCTTTTGGCCCCCAGACCCAGCTCGCTTGGGGGGGGGGGTGGGGCCCAGCCCCGAGAGTTTTTGCCCCCCTCCTTTGTCTTTTTCGTGATTTTTTTGCGGGATTTTGGTTCGCCCACCCCCCCCGTGGGGTTGTTGTTTTCTCTTGGGGGTTCCGGGAGGGGGGCCCCCCGCCCTTTGGGTGATGCTGGAAGTTTTCGGGCGGGGGGGGGGGGGGGGTCGGGGTCAAGGTTTTGGCCGCTGGCAAGAAATTTGTTGGATGGATTCCCTATCCCGTTTTCTGGAGCTGGCAAGTGATTACTTTTAATTGGGTGGACTCCGGATCTCGGCGTTGTCGAGCTCGCCTTGAAATTACAGTCGGGGTGGAATCCGTTCCCGGCCTTTGTCGAGCTGGCATGTGCTCCGTTGGATTTTTTCCCGATCCCCTGCTTTTGTCGCTAGCGAAAACATTTTGTTGTATTCCCCGCACGCGGTGGCGGGTGTAGGTCTTCGAGCGGTCTGAGGAGGTTGTGACGTTGGTGAGTGGGTACAACAGTGGTAGGTTTTCGGCGTACGCTTGAGAGGATGGTTACCGGGGTGAATTGGTGGTCGTTGGGTGCCATGCGCGCCTGCGAGGCGACGGCTGGGATTTCACAACCTGACGTTCTTGGTATATGCATGGCTTCAACTTCGGCTTGGAATTTCGCCCGATCTTCTTCGCACACAGCTATGACCTCGGCTTGGCGGGCAGACTCTTGTTGGTGGACGGGGTGTTTGTTTGTGCCACCGCTGTGAGAATCGTTAATCTTGCCGAGCGAAGAGACCGCCGGTATTGACGGCGGCGGCGGATTGGTCCTCCACGAGCGCTGGCGTGATTGGCTCCATGTTACGGATCAGCTTGCACGGCCCGGCAGCAGCTGTGAACGTTTGTTGGCGTAGGAGTACCTATGATACTAAGCGTTCTTCCTCTGACTTATTCTCGGCTGGATTGGGACCGGCTCGGAACGGAAAGTGGACAGAAGACTTTTTTTCTGCGTGTGAGTTGGACGAATGGAGGTGCGCAGAGAGAGGGCAGCGGTAGCAGCAGCGATCTCAAACTGAAAACGTTAGCGAAGATTTTATGGGTCTTGGATGCACTTTGCTAGTTCTTGGTGTGCGTGCAGAGGTTGCGGGGGTAGAGGTGGGGTGGCAGGGAGGGGGGGGGGGGGGGCAAGGGGGGCAATCTGTAGTCTAGGGTGGTTGATCAGTAGAGAGGGAAGGAGCGATTTGTAAAAAGATTGGCGACTTGCTTGCGTCTGTTTCACCGGAGGATGGCGAGACGAAGCAGTAGTCTGCCTTTGACCACACGAATCGGTGTAGCATGTTGTTTTTCGACGAACACCACACGACAGCGCTCAGTCCCCGCGCATGTAAATGTTCCGCTAGATGGATGGACGCATGAACAGAGAAATGTGAGCTAATAAGAATGAAGTAAACTTGCTGACTTGACCCCACCCCCCTCCCCCTCCCGAAAAATACAAATGGATGCTCTCGATTTTTTCCTTTGTTTATTAGTAGTTTATTTCGGTGTGGCTCGGTATTCGACATCGTGGGACTCAGGGCTCCCAACCGAGCCGACGCTTCTTGAAGCGTGCGGACAAATTTTTGGGCTTTATTATTTGTGCGGGCGTGGAGGAGTGGAGGGTAGGGAGGGCTATCCTTCGAGCGTCTTAGCTGGATTTCTCTCTTTGTCAGAATCTCTACCGGCAAAAAAATAGGAACAGGAGGAGTACATACTATCGTTATCTCACAAGTATTTTACTTTGTCTTGGGTAGAAGAAATGAAAAAATGCCGGTGGGAATGGATTGCTTTGTGTTGTTGTCTTATCTTCCAGAGGGTGGTTTTGTCGATGAAGTTTCTGTTCTTGAAAAAAAAAATCCCATCTTTTTGCGAGAAAACCGTGACGTCGATCACGACCGCTTTTGACTACAGTCTACTGCGATGAGGTTTTTTTTTTTTTTTTCATACATATTGTGTTGATTTTATCCTGTCCTTTTTGGGGGGCGTTCGCTACTTGCTAAACAGGAGGCACGCGCATCGTGTGTTTTTTTTTTCCACCAGCAGCAACACGGCCGGGGCGGGTGCGCCTACTACAGCAGTAAGGTAGTAAAAACTTTGTGAATGAAATCTACGCCGCGTTCGACCTTGGCTGGTCTGGTCGATGCCGAGCAAGCGAAGACACAACAAGGGCGGGTGTTGGCAAGAACATGGGAGAACAAATTGGCTTTCTTTGTGGCTGTTGTTTCGCGTGCTTGTCGCCCAAGGATTTTGGCCAGCTCTCAGAAGGGGGAGCTTTGTCGCCCGACTCAGGCGGCCTTGACTGGACATAGCACGGCAGCCCAGGGCTTGAGACGGAGAAAAAAAGAAAGAAACGAGGAAGTCTTGGTCTCACCACAAAAAATGGGGGGACTGTCGCCGCAACATACAAACAACAGCATACGACCACCAGCGCCCTTGCCTGCGCACAATGCGTAGTGGTTCTGTGCGCACGAATTGTGCGACAGGGCCACATCGATCGATAACAAAATGTGCCGTGTACCTTAGCTGAGAAATCTGGTCTGTGCTTGCATCTCATCATGCAGGTCAACACCACACCACCACACGAAGACAGCTGGCGACAACGCCACTGCTTGGGCCAGTTTCATATGGTCCTGTTTCTTTCACATCGAACGTCTCTGGCAATTAATTGTAGCTTATCCAGTACATGTTATCCATATCCACAATCCACAAGAAATTATCCAAACACAAACGTTCGCGACCTAGGTTTGATTCGCGCACCACCGCCAGTTCGGGAACGGTCTCTCAACCGTCGGAGGTTAAAAAAGAAAACGAAACTCCGATGCAACGGGAAACCCGGCCGCCGGGACAAAACCTCGTGGAAGAACGGAAACCTTAATACAAAAAAAGCCAACTTGGACGCAAGGGGAAACCCGACCCCCGGGACAAAACCCCTTGCGAAAACGTTTACGTTATTTTTACTGGAGGATGAAGAGAAGGCAAAAGTAAACCTCGAGGGTAATACACTGAAGTCTAGCTTCGCACTCCACCACGCAAGTCAACTAGAGACGAGATAATAGTACGCGAAAACGATGTCCCTCCGTATTTGCGACCAACACCCATAACAACGGTCACATGCAAGGGCGCAAGCAAACACTCAGACTACAAACAAGGACAGTGAACACAAGGGTAAACTACTCAGACTACAAACAAGGACAGTGAACACAAGGATAAACCACTTCTAGTCTATGGAAGTCGTGCCCTTAAGCTTGTTCTATATGCATCTAGTCTATGAAATTTGAACCATTAAGCTTGTTCTATGCATAGTTCCATGTAAACTGCCCGACGGAAAGGCAAATACATACAAGAGACGCTGCTCCTCTCCCCCATCGACAAACCACGTGCACCTCGAACGAGCGAAGGTGACGTCCATGAAAAGCAACGCCTCGCGCGCGGCAAGCAAAACACCAAATAAAAAGAGAAGCAAGAGGTGCTCGTTCCCGTCTGTGAGCACAGAACCGACAACTTTTGCGTTCCACCAACGCACGAAGAGTCCCGCTTTTATTGCAGGGCTCGCACTAACCATTTCAACTCAGAGGTACACGCTCACTAGTGCCACACGCTACCACACCTCTTGTAGCGACATGGTATGTCAAACACACTGCACCAAAACCACAGCGTGCAACAAACGCTGGCCCACGATAACCCGAAGCAGGGATTGAACTCCAGCCTAACAACGATGTCACCAGTCCTCCTGTGATGAAGGACTCGGTACACACTTCGTGAATAAATAAATGCAGCAGATGAAACACGGCAACATCAGAATGGCTGTGAACAGTTCAACTGTGGGGAAAGCTGCATTTTGTCATCGTAGAACCCGGGCGGAACACACAGCTCTTCTTGACGTTTGCCGTCCTATCAGTTTTCGACAGGGGCGATCAAAGCACGTGGCACAGTCAGCCCTCTGCAAGACTCAGTCCACTGCGCCGCTTCGTTGCCGTCGCTGGTTTCGGCCCAAACAGGGAACGTGCCAACGGGTTTGCCATCCTCGACCCCCCACCTCCAGCACTCATCGTCGGCCCAATTTCGACGTTCCACCCACCTCACCGGAACGATCACGGCCAAGTAGACAAGCAACACAACATACAGGGCAGCCTTCTCGACCTTGGTGAACACGAAGAAGGCGAGCAAGATCCAGATAACCCTGACCACGGCCGTGTTCTTCGCGATAAAGCGCTTGATCAACAGAGGGGTTGCCCGATACGCCCACAGATACTCGACACGCTGAGACAAAAAGGCGTTGAACACGCAAAACACGAGGGCAGATTCGTTCGCCGGGGGTTCCCCGCCCACCCCGTCCCATTCCATCCAACCTAGACAGCTCCAAGATCCCCACAGCGCCGCAAACAGGAGTAGCCAGGCCTCTTCTAAGGTGACCGGTGGCGGGCCGGACGACCTGCAATAGCCAGTCCCTGCCTGTTGCTGCTTTCTACACCTCGCATGGCGAAAAGGCTGGACACAGAGAAGTGAAAGCTTCGGCACGCCGTGCTCGTCGAGACAATCTTCTTCCTGCTCGTAGAACACAGGGAGGGTGCCCTCATTTCCGTAAACAGGGTTTGTCGAGTTGGTCCCGGCCGTGGTGTCTAGCCCAACCTGAACAAGCTTCCGCTTCAAGGCGGCATGATTGAAAGCGAAGTCCATCGACTCTCCGCCGTACACCGGTTCGATAACATCGTTCTCTCTCGTCAATCCAATGGGAGGCTTGACACCAACCCAGTTTCTGTGGAACATGCCATATCCGTTTTCCATTCTCACGTCCCCGAGAACTTCCAACTTAGCCTTGTCCCCTCGCACCAAGGACGCCACCAGGGGGGAAAATTCTTTCTGCTTTGCGGGAGACAAATACCGCCAACCAGCAAGCAACCCCTCGTCACTGATGCCCAGCACTGTCTGGCCGATGCCCCGCCGCCGCACAGCCTTGAGCAACTGCTCCCACTCGTCGTCCCTCTCGTTCACTCCACCAGCATAGTGGTCGCGAGGGAAACTGAGGGCGATATTGCCGTACAGAAGACTCACCCAATACACGTGGAATATAACAACCGTGACGGCGAACAGTCCCGCCTCCGCGCCGATCAGGGTTGCCACCGCGCACGCACCCACCACGTAAAAGAGCGACGTCCCGAGACAATAGCAAGCCGTCCGAACGTCCGCAGCGGTAGTGAACGCCACAAGGCTGTGCGGCACGAACAGATTCGCCATGATGACTCCGACTAAAAAAGCTATCGTTGCCACCGCCAGAGGAACACCGCCGCAACTCGTAACCAAGTCCTTGCAGATGACAGGGGTTCTTGGTGAATCGACGATATCGGCAGCTACGCTTGGCAAGGCGGTATACCAAGCGACCCAGTAAACCCATATGGCAGCGGTGACGCCCCACAACAGTGACAGCACCTTGATCCCCCACCGTCTGGCGCACGAATCCACCACAAGGGCGCCGACTCTGGCGACGTCGCTCTCGCTCCAGATGAGCATTTGCCGAGCAAGGTAGCTCGTTGCTCCGAGGCGCATCACGGCCTCACCATCACACACCTTCTGTTGACCCTCTCCGGGGCCGAAACGAAACGCCGTGCCCTGCTTCGGCGCCGAGAGAAGCCCGCACGTCTTGGCGGACACCACCAAGACTACGAATGCACTCAAGTATGGCAGCAGTGGCGATGATGCTCGAGCGGAAACCTCCTCATACACATGTTCCACGGACGACATGAACCACTCCGGGTTTTGCTGAAGGAATCCGACCTGACATGCGGGTACGACGACGGCGAAAATATTTTCAGCATATTGTGAGCAACCCCCACTTGAAGGTCAGACGCAGCTTCGGATGACTGCGTGTGTGTGTGGGGCTGGTGGGGGGAAAAGCACAACGGATGCATCCATCCGGGCGTTCTATGCTAAAACAGAGAATGCCAGATTATCTTCGACGATCGTTTGCGCGCACATTGACGGGAGGATCACAACCAAACGTTTTGTGAGCGATGACACCGTGCAACGGAATCAATTAAGATGTCCGCGATTGGCAGGAAACTACTATTTAGTGGCGGTCAAACACTTCCACAACAAACGCATCGGGGTGGGCATTCCAATGAAACATTATTTTTTCGAGCTGTCAAAGCGGGTCTGGCGAGGGAGAGCAAGCTGCATACCGCTGGTAGGATGAGACGCCCCATCTCGTGGACCATTCTCCGGAACAACGGCATTCGAACGGCAGCGGCATGGGGCGAGGGTGGGAGGGTTCTTTGGCTAGGCTTGGCTGTGTCCGATTTTTTCATGTGCCGCCCATCGGAAATCTTCGCGTGTGTAGCGACGGTAAGATTCACAAGAAGTTCGGCACTACGCGAGACGTGGCGTTTTGGAAAGGGGAGCTGAAGATGCTCACCCTACCGGCACTGTGTGTGGCGCTATGGCGGATAGAGTAGAGGTGCTCCTCGGGGCGTCTAAAGGAAACCATGACGGAACAGTTGTGTCGCGAGTGAAGACGTGCCCTGGGTTTTGCCACGTTCGACTGAGACGGGACCGGTGATGTAGCGGCGGATATGGTGGGCATCGGCGGGTTCGAAGTGTGCTTGAACTGATGTGCTGCTCTCCGCAGCTCGATGAGATGGCACCTGTTGCCGCATATCCTCCCGGTCAGTACTGGAAGGTGTGGACGTGTGTGTTAAGAACGCGGTGACCACTAATATAGTCGCTGACCGGTTCGAATCTCCCCTTGAGCATTAATTTCTTCGCGCCCGATGTATGAGAAAGAGTCCATGAGACTTCGCAATAACAGCCGATGAACTTCTTGTACCGATGCAATTTCCGAGCAAGACAGCGTTGATCACAGGGACGGCAACCCTGGGGGGGCGTGTTCGTGGCTACAAAGCCAGACCGGACACGGGCATTAACTTTTGTTAAGAAGCACGATGACCGCTAGACTACTAGTAGTCAGCGCTGACTAGTAGTCTCGTGGTCATCGTGCTTCTTAACAGTGTGATCAATCGTCGACGGCATTGCGGGCTCTCGTGGCTGGTCAAAGATTGAAACCGGAGGAGTACGCGCAGCATTCGGGGAGGATAGGGGATACGACTAAGTAGGGCCGATGGGTTGTCGTCGTGGGCGATCCACAGCAAGGGAAATCAAACGCATTTCAATCGTACAAGGGGGCTCATTCGGACGATGCTGAGAAGGCGTCGTTTGCGCTGGCACCGGACGCTATCTGGAAGGGGCCACAGCCTGGGCTAACGCAGCGCTAACCTAGCCCTAATGCAGGCACAACAACCTAGAACTGAGCCACCCAATGTCAAATTAGCACCTATTGGGTCGGTTTGGGGTTAGGGTTAGAGTTAGCGTTAGGGATTTAGCCGGGTTCATGTAGTTGCTGCTCGGAAGGACAGAAAACTGCGCCTGCCTGTGCCTGTAGTAGAGCGACAGGTTGAAGAAACAAGAAAACGCATAGTCTACATGTTCGTGACGCTCGTTCCTCAGACAAGATTTACGTCGGTAAAAAAGGTGTGGGTGCATGGCAAATATGCGTCCCTGTGGAGGCATATAATTTTTCGGGTCATATTGATGAAATAAAAAATGTAAAATGGCGCTTCGCGGACGCTATCGGCGGTCGCCGCTGCGCTCGTAGGTCGCATGGCGATGGCAAGTGTGTACTGGTTGAGTTTCGAAAGGAGAGGAACGAAGACGTGCTGGTGTTGTTGTGAAAAGGTGTTGTGAAACCGAGGTCGAGACATACATGTACTGACATGGCGAGGTACTTGCATTGCGAAGAACGTGTGGAGGACGCTTTTTACGCGTGCAATGTTTGTTGTGCTCATCAACATTGACAACACAAAACCGCAGGTAGGTCTCGTAGGGCAATGACACCGGGCTGTGTACCAAAAAACCGAAGTATGTACTACTACATCAAAAATCGAAGACGATGTACTGACAATCCTATGGCATCGGCACCACAAAAAAACCGCAGGTAGGTCTCGGGGCGATGAACACGAAAGGCATATATACGCGCATTCGTCACCTGTCGGATTCCCCGCAACTCCTCAATCAACCCGGGGCGTACGTTCACCTTTTCTTACCTGACACATACCGTAAGAGTCGGAGAGATGGCACGGGTCGGAGAGATGGCACCGGGGTGCGAAAGAAAAACAAGAAGTGTGTGTGTGTTTTCGTCCTAGTCTATTATTATGGCGACAGTCCCATTTTTCGTGGTGAGACGTGCACTTTTCGTGTATGTAGAATACTGCTCACGAATCTGGAGTTAGTGTTATTTTTAAGAGTCGTGGACCTCCACGACTTCGTCACGCCACCCGGGCTTACCGTACCCCAAATATCCCCCGGGTTCCTCGTACACCACACAAACGTAGACCTCGCTAGGCAGGCCGTCACACCTAAACTTGCTACAACACCGCCTTCACAGCCTACCCTTCCCATCCCCCATCCGTCTGCGTCATATGGTACTCACATTTTCTTCCCTTCACCGTACACCCCCACTCGACTCCCACCAACCTTGTCTCACAATTGCAAGTATGAGCGCATCGCTTCAATTCCATGGAAACGCACCAAGACGAGCCCCCCGACAAGTATTAAAGTAGATCTCCGAACGCCACCTCGGACCCGTGCGTGCACCCTTCCTCAGTTCTAGGTTGGTGTGCCGGCATTGGGGCTAGGTTGGCGCTGGGTGGCTCAGTTCTAGGATGGTGTGCCGGCATTTGGCGCTAGGTTGGTATTGATGGGACAATCTCTAGGTTGGTACTGCATGGATAAGTGCTAGGTTGGTGTTTATGCGATCGACCTAGGTTGGTATGGCTTGCATAGGTGCTAGGTTGGTGTTGACGTGGGTAGGTGCTAGGCTGTGTGGGCCTAGGTCTCTCTAGGTTGGGTGGGTCTGTCGGAAAAAAAAGGTGTGGGTGCACATGGCTCATGTGCGTCCCCATGGGTGTATCGAATATTTTTCCAATAATATGACCCAACGAAACCATCTGAGAGCTCTATCGAAGAAAAAGAGTCTAAAGGTAGATTTAGCAATGAATCCATTGAGACAGCAAAAATCTGTTTTTCCACGATTTCCCGAACAGCACACAGCAAGCAGTGATGTCGCCCCTGTGGGTAACAGGGTCAGCAAGAAGAAGATTGTTTCGTGGCCGTCTTGTGTATCCATCTGTCTGTATGTTATGTTGGGAAGGTGTGTAGAAGGAAGGTGTTGGGTAGTTGTTTCGTGGGGTGTATAGATATCGGCACCCTTATGGGATGGTGTGCATTTATTTGAAGCTAGACATGTCAAGTATTTGTGTTTGTGTGTAATATCGTCATTGGGTGGGGCGGGAGAACACTTTTACTTCCCGCTGTGTTGTTCTGACTGACATGGTTGTTCTGATGTGTGTGGTTGTACTGCAGCGTAGCTGAGTCATCATATCCATCCATGGATGGCTTTGTATGGGTTTTGACGCAGATCAGAGAGTATGTATACAACCACAGAGGTATCACGTGTTTGGTGTGTGATGGTGAGTCAAAGTTTGTACCTGTCTGTGTCATCAGCAGGTGGGGCATAAAAAAACTCCCAGCGATCAAAGATCCGTTCGAAGGTACTTCGCAAGCAATGAATTGCGCGTTCGGGTTGTTTTGTATTTTATCAAAGGTTGTTGCTGCATTGCTGTGTGTGGAAGCCTGGAAACAGCGTGTGTCGCACGTTTCACAGCAGCAGCGCAGATGGACTACTGTAAGGTATTGAGTCGTCGCCCGCGGCTCATTGCCCCCTCCTACTGTAAATAATAATAGTAGATAAGGTGATGATGGTCGATTGGGTGACCGGAACTAATTGCGGAACGGATGGGTATGCACTCCTCCTCTCTTATTGTGGTGGGACTGACTCCGGTTTCCACTCCCCTCTAAACACCGGTCGCCCCGGTGGTCTAGTTGGTATCCTCGAAACCTTCTAGATAGAGGTCAGGTCAGGGGTTCGAATCCCGGCGTAAGCGAGAGCTTTTCTTGCAAAGTGAGTTTGTCTCTCGCTCCCGCTCCTGGCCTAGTGGATAGCGCTAGTTCGTGTGTACACAGAGGGAATAGAGTGCTAAACTCTTCTCGCTTTAAAATCGAAGGCAACGTACCGCAGGAGAGGAGAGAGTAGAGAAGGGCCCTTCTGTGTGACCACGGGTTTTGGAGTAAACGGCACAATAATAATAGTGCTGTGAGCGCTGATTTTGAAATGAAGAAAAAAAAGAAAAAAAAAAGCCTATATGCATACATACGATGTACGATGTGCGATGGTTGGCACATGCACAAAAACACAGCAGCAGTACGTTACGGGCAGGAAAACGCAGGATCGCTTACCGTTTCGACGCTCCGACACTCGGCCTCCCGTCAAACTCCCTCTTCTCGGCCCGTTTAGAGACTGCCGGTGGGAGGCAGAAGGGGGGAAATGAAAACATGGTGAGATATTATTGCGGCAAGCAACTTGTAGAAATACGAAAATACAACACAATAAACTCACAGCAGTCAGTCGGATGTACTCACGTGTACCTGCAAACAAAAACAGTCATCTGTGGCTACGGAGCAAAAGCACCAACAACATGCAACATGCAGCGTACGTGCGCACTTGCCTAATGCGACAGACAGCAATAGGCAATGGGTGCATGAATTCAGGCCCCGAAGAGAACGGATCGGATGTATCTACCCTCGATATGTATGTATGTATAGTATGTCAACCGTGGGATGAACGCCCTCTCCAAGGAATAACAACAAACTTACTTGCCGCCTCTATTCTGTAGTAGGTGGACTCGTGCGCTGTGCGCCTCCCCGACCTACCTACTACTGTGCTGATAGATGCACACACACACACACACAGATCAGATACAAACAACCACGACGCTGTCACTACAACCCCCCCTTGCCATACCTATTCGTTCGGTGGATGGAGCGTTTTTTGACTCCGCAGCGTGGAGTAGTAGGTCCGCAATTGCGCACGCGGGGGGATAATCCTCTCTGCTTCAAGTATTATAGGCCTGTGCTCGGTACATTGGCATAAATACGTGGTTATTTTTTTTTCGGGTATGATGAGATGTGAGATACATAGATGTGATTGCCAAAAGAACAAGTGGAGACAGAATTGTTGACCGGAACGTGGCAAGCAAAGTAAGAATGAAATTGCGGGGAAGTTTCATCGGGGGGGAAACGGACGCACAACAAAAGAATATGACTCTTCACATATCTATCTGGTCTTGTACTACTACAGCGGCTCCTCCTGCGAGGCAAAAGGGCGATCTGCTGCCGTAGAGTCCACCGTGCGCCCGGCACAAAGTCAGGGGTAGGTGATCGAGCGGAAAACCCTCCTGCCCTCCCGCCCGGGTCTTTGTCTTCGTGCCGGTGGGGTGTGGCAGTACTTGTAGCAAGTTGATTGAGGTGCGACAGCCTGCCTGGGTCTACATTTGTGTGGGAGTAGTTGGTGTGTTGAGGAACCCGGGGGATATATATATATGTTGGAGTGTAGGGCAAGCCCGGGTGGCGTGATGAAGTTCAATGCCATCACATATAGTCTATGTATGATATGACGCAGCAACTTCTGTGCACAACCACACTTACTTCCTCGGATGCATGTTGCCCCCCTCTGCATTGCCTCTGCTAGTCAAAAAATGGAGCCCGCATGCATTTGTTCAAGAACCTGGGTTTTTTCTTTTTGTTTTCAAAAGCTTGCATTCAACGTCCAACTGAACTCGTGTATGCATGCACCCTATTGAGAATAGTTGACCGGGAAAGATGAAGCAAGTGAACTACCCTGCTTACTGCTGTACGTAGGTCGTGAGTAAACGTCAACTTCACGGTCGACGAGGGAAAAGGATGGGTGGCTGAACCCTTCTCGCGACAAAAATAAAAAGGCAAACACCGCAAAAACACCGCAGGGGGGAGAGGTGGGGGCAAAGCAGACCCACCCCACTAAATGCCAATGTTGTTTTGTTGTTCCTACAGCAGTACGGGCCCGCAAAGGCTCAACTTTTACGAAAAATAAGAAAAAACGACTACACAGCGCAATCTCGGCCACAAGAAGATAAGAAACGTCCCAATAAGAACATGATCATGCTGCATGCGATACCCCCAGTACATAAAAGAAACAAGGGGGTCGCTGGGGGAGCGTTTCCAATAAGAAACGTGCTGCTCCTTCCGTGCTCCCACCCCCTGGTGCCTAGCGGGACAACGTTTTTTTTCGTAGGGGGGAAGAGTGATTGTTGGCTGCCCCCCCCGCCTCCGCGCTATTTAGCTACTCGGCGCCTCGCGGGCTGCTTTACCCAACAGCCTCGTCGTCTCTCCTCCGCTCCCGTCTCACGGCTGCCATCACCACGACACAACACCCTTACTGCATGAATGCTTGGTGTTGTTGTATGCATATTCTTAGCCAGAAATGAATGAAAACGAGAATAGCAGAAGAATCAGGACGATGCGGCAGTCCAAAGGAATAAGAAATACCTTTTAAGAAAATGGACGCCTTCGGCTGGTCTTTCGACGCAAAATAAGGGATTGAGCCTCGACCCGATTTTGGCGTTTCCTATCTCCGGGCCCGTACTGTATGCTGATGGCGACAGTGCCCCCATTTTCTTTCGTAGTGAGACGTGTACTACACTTTTCAGTGCATGGAGAGATGGAGAGTACTACACTCCTCCCGTGTATTTTTTCGTACAACTACTGCTGTAGTCTGTCTATGTACAACCACAGTAGTATCCTTAAAATTCTTCATAAACGAAGGAAGACGGTACTGTATCTTGAAACCATCACGTGTTCATCCCCTGTATCGAATCGACTGACAAAGATTATTGATATGCAAACGTCCATGAATAACGTGCTGAGATGAGCGGTAGAGGTAACAACCGGGGGTGTACTCGTGTGAGCGCATGCCGTACATCCCTCGCATCCCTACAATGCCGGAACGGAGAACGATAGACTATGCCAAGTTGTCGCCGGTCCAGGCTGCACGGTACGGGGTGCGGGGAGACAAAGGAGCGAACAAAGACGCACAACAATTCTACACGAAACTCTGATTTTTCAGTTAAGCATTCTCGAACCATGTCGAGAAAAAAACGTCATTGATCCCTCAAAAAACCTGCTCGTGGTCAAGCAAAACAACATCGAAACATAGGCGGCGGTTCAATCTAGTAAACAGCACACACAAACACAGACACAAGATCATCTGATCTACCTCTCCCCCGTGGCCTCCTGCACCTTCCATGTTACTCTTCGCCGTTCCCACATGTGCCCATTTGCTGAATCCACCTCAACCAAACAATACCTAGCCGAACACACTCGCAAAGCCAAGACCAACAAAAAAGGAACTATTTTAGCATGCAGTAGAGTGAAGAAGGCTGTCACCGTCCACAGGGCTCCTGCACCCAGCTAAAAAGAAACATACGCGCTGCCTGCCTGCTGCGCCCAACGCACGTTATATGCACGCAGAGCAGTCTACCCGTAACGTGCACTTGAATGTTGTAGGCCAGCCACATACAGCAGTGCAGCGATAATTTCCATTGTGAAGAGAGTATTCATTTGTGAAGAAAAGTCTTCAATCAAGCTGTCTAGACTTTGCGCGTATATCTGCCACGGGTGGAAGCGATGAGGAGACAGGCGACGGCGGGAGGTGGTACAAACACCATACCGGGGAGGAGGGTGGAGACATGGGACGGGAAGAGGGAGGGGTCAAGAGAGCATTCACAGGGAACGGGGGTGAGGAGCAGAGGGAAAATATGACACAGGCAGGGGAGAGGGGAGAGCGATCGAGCGGAATAAGAGAGCCATGGACGAACCAAAAGTCGTGGGCACAAAAGAACGAAAATTATAGCGAGAGGCCATAAAAAGAAGAAGAGAACCAACACAATACACTTGCAATTGGCACTCAAACACACAATAGCAGCTTGACTTACCGCAACAGGTCGCCGCATGACGAACTATGCCAAGCCCCCCATGCACCGAGCACTACAGAACACGCTACGGAAGCAGAGCTAAAGTATCGACGCGCCGCTTTCCACGACCTTCTGCTGCGGCACCTCTTCAAAATGGGGGTCGACAGAACTACAGTACACTTCGATGAACAAGGGGAACCGTGCAGCCGGAAGCAACAAAGACAAGGAGGAGGGACGAGCTCACTCGCGCCACAGCCGCAGCCGTCCCAACTCGCTCCTTCCCTCTCTACTGATAGATCAACCACCCTAGGTTAACCCCCTTGCCAACACACCCACCATGTATTTTGCCGCCCCCCACCCCGAGCCTGGTCCGGTGGGAACCCGGCGTGCTCCGTCCCGGCTTTGTAGGGATGCGAGGTCAATGGTCTAAGGACTACGGCATGCATGACTTTGAGTACACCCCCCACCCCCTCCCCGCCCCCCCACCCAAGCACATCAAGCTGCTCACACGGTCCACACCGGTCACATACACACACCTTTCAAAGCGCGACACGAGCGCCGCACGCTGCTCCACCGCAGGGTACCCGCCCTCGCTGCCACAGGGCGGCGGGGGTGGCCGGCTTCGACGGAAGACCGCCACGTTAAGCCTCCACGACCCGGCCACCGCCGACGCGAACGCCTCGTCGAAACTCTCGTCACTATCCACCCACTCCTTCTCCGTCTCGGGGTAGGGAACCAATTGCGCCGCATCTTTCGCAGACCCCGGTTCCGCCGCATCTAGCCCCGGAAGAGCGAGAGCAGCACCGCCCGTCGCGGCGGCAGAATCAGGAGTCGTCTCAAACGCGGAGGAAGCGGGCCACCTCCAAGACAGGGCCCGGTACGCCGGCCCCTGCAGCAGCATGCGCCTCACGCGGCGGCGGCCGACCCCGTGCCGCACCTGGGGGGACCGCTTGGTGTCGACCACGTCCAGAGGGGTGCCGCCGTTCCTATCCACCGCGCCCTCGTCGGCGCCGGCGTGGAGCAGCAGGGCCGTGGCTCGGGCGTGGCAGTAGCCGGCCGAGAAGTGGAGCGCGGTCATGAGCTGCGAGGTCTTTGCGCCTAGGAGATGGACCTATTTTAGTTCACACGTGGTGTGAGGCACACGCGACGCGTTCATTCCGTGGGGCATTTTTTGGGACCCCTCTGTTAGATAACGGAAGGGCCGTCAGGACACAAATGTGGATGTTGTTACATACCAAATGGAGTGGTATGAATAGTGGGCGCCTTTTTCTCGGTGGCCTTCTCTTGCTCCAGGCTCTATTTAGGGAGAACAACAAATCAGACACGCGTTAGGTTGTCCAACAAAGGAGTCGTCCGTCGAGAAGAAAAGCAAGAAGAGGCCCTCTCGCGTCAACACCACTAGACAAGACAGCAGCCAACAACCAACTCACGATCACGCCACCCGTTTCTCCCGCCCACGCGAGATCCCGATCATGCAAGATAACTCACCCCTCCCTCCACGTACACAAGCTCTCGGAGCATCTCCATGTTTCCCGTCATCGCAACACCCGTGATCGCGTCGCGGTAGGCGTTTTTCCCGAGTAAGGCCACGCCCCGCTTGAGCAGCATCCGCACGATGGAAACGTGCCCGCCCTGGGCAGAAATCGCCAGCGGCGTGTAACCTACGCTGTCCGCGGTCCCTGCGTCCACGTTGCAAGTCTCTAGCAGGTACTTGGCGACCCTGAAAACCCGGTTCGCCCGGCAAAAAACGACAAAAAACAAATGTGGTACAGCAGTAGCGGTTCCTGTGCTTGTTGCCGGTATGTATGTTCCCAGAAAATTGCTCGGCACTATTTCAAAGCACAGAAATACTTTCTCATTTCGTCTGTGCCCGCCGAATACCGGGCGGCCGCACTATCCAACCGGCACTAAACAGGACCCCAACTTTGCGTCAGAAAAAACAGGGAGTTAGAGAGAGACACACGTACCATAACCCAGCAGTCGTTCAAAACGCGGGACTGGAGGGAATAACGCGTTGTCCGTGGCAACAGGGTAGGCATGGTGTCATCAAACGTAATAAACTTCTTGCACGACGCATATTGTGATGTTAGCACCCTACTTGGAAGTAACAGATTTTCCGTCGATGTGATATGTAGTGCATCAAAATCTGTCGAACGATATGTAGCTAATGGACGCAGGAAGCAGAAAGTCGGGGAGTGAGCGATCGGGCATGCACGTTCTCCCTCATATGCGGTACAGTATCTTCGCTTGGGTATGGTTCTTCACGAACCTACGTCGCTCGGGAGGCTGTCAAGAGAGAGGCAGGCACACGCTACTGCTGCCTGTTGATCGTGGAAGAAACCTCGGTTTTGAGAGTTGGTGATCAAGTCGGCATCGTGCCACGCGCACAGCAACAGTAGTCACACCAACAAGCACGAAAACCCCACGCGAAAGCGCCCAAATAGCCAACACCAAGCTCTACAATACCAGGTGTTTTGTGCACGTGTTGTGATTAAATTTGTAATTTGTTACAACGGTTTCATGATTCTTGTCAAGTTTTTGGTTTTGGGGAGGAGGGCGTCTAAAACTGCAACCGGAGGACTGAGGTTATATCTCGCACGGGGCAGCCTTGCTTTGATTGCATCAAGTATAACTTGAACGCCATGTTCTGTATGGTACCCGCAGAAGTGTACCGCGGGTATTTTTCCGGGTATCTACCCTACAGAATGTTACAGACGAGATCTGTAACACTTCCAGTACCCTACAGAATAATTCAGAGAGTCATACGACACTTCCAGTAAGTACCCTGTAGAAAAACTTCTGCAAGTTCTGTGCAACGAAAACGATGTACTCCAACTTACTTCGTGCGGCCGCTCATGCAGGCGTTTGCGAGCGGGGGCTGCAGGGCTCCACTACGCCACTCCGGGTCAGAGCCGGCCCTGACGAGCTCCTTGAGCGCGGGGAGATTCCCCTCGTCCGCGGCGAGGTGTATCGGCATGTACTCCTCGGCGTCGAGGGCGTCGAGCCTCGCTCCTCCTTCGATGACCTTCTTTATGATCTGGACAGGGAGGGAGGGGGGGAGAGAGAGAGAGACAGAGAGAGAGAGACAGACAGAGAGACAGAGACAGACAGACAGACAGACAGACAGACAGACAGACAGACAGACAGACACACAGAGAGAGAGAGAGAGAGAGAGAGAGAGGGAGAGAGAGTAAGAGAGAAGGAAGAAAACGCAAGAGAGAGAGAGAGACACACACACAGACAAGACGGGGGGGACCGCGGCCGGGAAGTCGGGTAACCAGGCCAGCCAACCGATAGAAGAATGAACAAGGACGCAATCGCTGATTGAGGATGATGGTCGAGCGGGGGGCACGGACGTGGTCGACTACAGGAGGTTCATTGGCGCCAATAGCTGTTGGACATTCCGGATATTTTACATTGTCTTGATGCGTACCTTATGTTGGGTTAGCATTGTCGCCACGGAAGTCTGCCTCCTCGTCCAATGGCTACGGAACAGGAGATGCTAAATAGAGATAACGTAACATCATTCGCCACAATGTACAGCGCTACCACCTTGACCTATTATTGCCTACACACAAATACACACGTTTGGCATTAGAAGTGTTTCGTGTTTTCAACCGCACTGAGACTGACGTTTCATTGGTCAGCCGGTTAGCGCGGGCGATGCAAATAATAAAGAAACACACACGTTCACGTTTAGAATCATGAAGGCATGCAAGTAGTGCGTACCTGCACATCGCCTTGGCAGGCGGCTTTATGCAGAGCGGTGCGTCCCGACCCTCCCGTCTTTAAGTTCACATCGGCGCCGGCGGCCAAGAGCTGTGCGACGATGCCACGTTCACCTGGCGATACATGAACATACAACACGCCGCGGAATGGGGGCCGGCCAAGCGCTATTTGTATCTACATGTCAGACGATGCACAAGGGTTCGGAATAGGGTCCGTTATGACACACCTCTCTCCGTGACGTGAATCAACATATGCACGCAAGAGAGAGCGAAAGAGAGAAGGAGAGAGGGAGAGAGAGTGAGACAGACAAGACACACACACAGAGAGGGCGGGGAGGCAGGGAGGGACAAGTAAATGTTGAGACGTGGACCGACTCCATCAGCTCTCTTCGTGTGGAATTCTGCAATTTCTAGGCTCTGCAAGGGCGCGTGCGAAACGCGTGCACACGCCAGCATGGTGACGGCCCTGCTACCGCCGCCACCGCCGCCGTCACGGCCGCCGTCACCAATAAACGAGCCAGGGTTGACCTTGCTCAAACACGAGACGTAGCTCCGTCGAATCACGAGCAACACATCCACTCAACATGTGTGTGTACGTCGTGGGTCTTTCTTTTCGTAAGCATCGATGACCGGCTGACCAATGAAAATACGTCAGTCTTAGAGCGGCTGAAAACAGAGAATAGCCTGGAAAGCTGGACGTGTATCTACGTTTCCAAAAGAAAAATGAAACGTAGCCACCCTAAGGACCGACCTTCGCCGATGGCGGTCTGGAGCGGAGTCTCCCCTCCCCGCATGCGCTTGTCCACGCTGGCGCCGTGCTGTAGCAGGAGGCGGACCATTTCCGGACGGCCGAGGAAGCAGGACAGCCCCAGCAGGTAAACGGGGGCCTTGCCTCCTCGCCCCTTTGGTCAGGAAAAGGTGCAGCACCAGCACCAGCACCAACAGGAGGCAGATTGGTGTAGCAGCAGCACCAGCATCAGCAAGAGGTGGATGTTGTAATGGCACGGAAAATGTGCGAACAGGGTCAAAAGCAGCAGCAGCAGCAGCAGTAGCTGCACGTTACGAGAAAACTGATACTCCTACGGCAAAGGGCCAACAGTGGCGGCAAACAGGGCAGCGGACAATCAGGCGCCGTATCTTGTGCACGAGAGGCTGCACGCTTCGGGTGCATACGCATACATGCATGGACTACACCCGACGTTCGAAGCCGGGACTTTCTCGACAACAATCACGGCAAGAAAGTATCGCGGGGTAATTCCCAACATTTTTCTCAAGGTAGTGTCTACAGCAGTAGTGCTGGAGAAAATCGTAGAGAACGCACAGCTCAGGACGCACGTCTGGCCTCTGTACCGGCGTGTAACTGGATCCCGGGATCTCGGGATTTGAAATTTGAATTTGAAAAGCAACTCTATCCTGTGTCTGTCAACCATCGACCTCGGAACACGGCCCAGTTTCCCAGAACCCCCCAAACGTCCCCAGACCCCAGACCGTTTGAGCCAGATAGCCTCGTACTACACTGCCTTTTTGATGTTTGCCTGTTCATCCGCTGTCTGTCTGCTCCCTCTCTTCTGTGCAGGAGCTCAAGGAACGAATGTGTACAATAGACTACGGCGGTACCGGCGGTATTTAGTGCAGTCTACTGCTGCTGTTGTAGCAGCGGCGGCGCAATTGTTCCACTTTTTACATAGACTAGATAGAACCTACGGGCTACAGCAGCAGTGGTACAATGCTGCACGGACTTGCTTCAGCCAGCCATCGAAATAAAAATGGATCACAACAGCGTCTACGAAGTAAGCTCTCTAGGTTCCTTCTTCTCCCGTTAATTTCCCAGAAAATGGCGCCTATCTGTAGCACTAGGAGGGATTATGACTTGATGACATGCGTACAATTTCCAGCACACACTTACGTCGGACGGGATGTTCGGATCTACTCCGGCCTCGAGCATGCGAGCTGCTAGCCCGGTGTGTGCGCAAGAGATGGCCTCCACCATCGTGCACGCGGCGTCGAATTCGCGTAGGGTAGGCATGATGAGGATGGTTTGGTGGTAGTGAACCCATCAACTTAATGCAGCCAGCTCCCAGCTCCGCGCCGGTGGCGCCGGTCGTGCATACGCCAAAGCTGGCGAGATAAAAAGGTTCTCCAGCTGGAAAACGCCTCCCAGAACCACACCCTACAACGCCTCATTTGAATTGAACGGGTCACACCGCCGCAGCAACAACGGCTGGCGGCCAACGCGATAGTGGCGGCGTTCCCTTCAGCAGCTCACACCAGCCTCATACCAGTCTACGACAGCAGATGGAGGTTGATTCTAATCGCGGAAGCTGACTAGCCGGATGGTCTAGTTCCGCGATTAAAAGATATGCGCTGAGCTCGTTAGCACCCGGCCGGATCACATGGGCTTGAGGCTGTTAGAAGCTTAATCACTGGGATTGAGCGTAGAGATCTCCGGGGACGGACCCCTCGCCAGACGCCGCTGTTTGGTAAACAAATGGCGGTTCTTGTGTAAGTGGACCGATTGGGATTCGAACCCGTGCGTGGAACCTTGTGTAAGAACGCTTTGACCATTAGACCACTAAGTCAACGTTGACTAGCCGGATGGTCTAGTTCCGCGATTAAAAGATTTTTTTTTTTTTTTGTGGTGTTCATCAAGCCTACATCCAAGAACATACTCATGTCCATCAAAGGCAAATTATCCTGGGACTCAAGGGGCATGATCTCTATCTCTCGCGACACATTCGGGTTCACGACTGAGGGGGACAGGACGTCGGATGAGGCGATGGCTGCGGCTAGGGCAGGCTGAAAATCTCGGATCGACGGAGACACTAAATCAACATCGATAGGCGGGGAAGCATCACTCGGAGGTACTACACCGGAAGTCATGGCCGAGCTGCTCTACGCTCCCATCACACACAACTGAGCCACCCGAATTATCGATCACGCTAGCGTATGACACGTCGTCTACGAGATTCGAGTCGAGCTTAGTTTGGAGTATCGCTTTGCGGCGATCAGCAGCAGCCACCGATGAGCGACACCGAGCAAGATCGAGTGAGCGCCCGACTAGCAGAGGAGGAAGCCCGGATCAACTACTTGGTCGAACAGAGGGTAGAAGCAAGACTGGCCGAGATGTCGAGGCAAGAAGCAGAGGAGCGGAGGACAGATGACGTCCGGACCGGAAGAGAGCACGAGGATCGCCACCAGCAACACGCGGGGCGGCCATCGGCCAACCCGACGACCGACGAAATCGCCCGCACACTCGCCGACGCCCTCACCGGTCGACTTCACGTCTCATCAGGGGACATGGGTAGAGTACCCATTAACGCAGGGACGGTTCGAATGACTGAGACTAAGCGCCTAGCGCCTTGGGATGGTGTTTTCAAGCAAAGGGAGGATGAGCAGGCTAAGTTTTTGATTTTTCGATCGAACATGGTAGCTATGTTTGCCCAGGAAGGAGTGCGTGACGTAGTACTGACAGAAGAAAAAATTCCAGTTGGGAAAGAAGGCGTGAGCATGGAGGAGATGCGTAGGGTGCATTCGAGTGGAAGGGTAGAAAAGGCAATAACGGCGTGGAACCTGCTGATCACGACAGTGACATACATGCCAATCCTAACCCAGATCATCGCCGATGGGAGCCCTAGTGGAGGTTGGAAGATATTCCTCGATTATTACGAGCCGCGTGCCAGGGCCGAAAAAGAAAGGCTGTCATCTCAATATCACGCTCTTGAGATGAAAGTAGGGGAGACCCCGCAAGAGTACTTCGGGAGATTTGCTGTTTTGCGCAGTAGGCTCGCCTCGCACGGTGTTGTTTTCTCCGACGATGATGCCAATGCCCACATGGTATACCACCTTTCCGACGAGTACTCGGTAGAGAAGAAGATTCTGACCATGTCACCGATTCCCCCCTCGCGCGAAACAATTGAAAAGGCTGTGCGAGATGCTCATGCGGACTCGGTTCGCCGTCGGGAGGGGGAACCGAAGAATGGCGCGGGGCACGCGTTCGTCGCTTCCGGTGGCATCCGGGGCGATGGACGTGTCCAAAATGGGTCGTGTGGAAACGGCGGGGGTCAGGACGGAGACGGAGGCGCCCGGAGTCGGAGCAGGAGCAGGGTGAGAGGAAACAAGAAAGGCGGAGGCGAGAGAGGAGCCGACAACGACCGCTGCTACCTACATCCGCGCTTGTTCCACACCAACGCCCAGTGCTACACCCAGCGCGACCGTCGGAAGGAGCAGGAGCAGCAGCAGCCCCAACAGCAGCAGTCTCAGCAACAGCAACCCCAACAGCAGCAGTCTCAGCAACAGCAGCCTCAGCAACAGCAGTCTCAGCAACAGCAACTTCACGGACCGCCGCCGCAGCAGCCGAGCTACAGTGGGGGGGGCTGGGGCGGTGGGCCTCAGCACGGACCTCACAGCGGCTACGGAGGACAAGCATCAGCACAGGTATGCAGCGCCCCCTCGTCCTCCACAACCGCCTTGGCGGCCTCCGTACGGGCACGCTAATGTGATGCACGCGTATAGTGCTATGCCCTACGGGGGGCCCGCGAATGGTACCGAGTATGGCGGGTGGGAGCAGCAGCAGCAGCAGCAGCAGCAGCCTTCGCCAGACTACTACCAGCAGCAGCCGTACTACCCGCCTCCGACACCGTACTACCAGCAGCAGCAGCCACCATCGCAGCCTCCGCCACCGCCGTCGTTTCAGCCGCAGCAGCAGCAGCACTCCACCCATGCCCCGCCCCAGTCGCCCTCTCCCGGAGCAGCAACCTATCCGCCTGGGCATCTCCACTCCCTGATGGCACACTTTGTGTCCGCTGACGAGATGAGTTCGCTTTCGGTTTCGAGTGATGTAAGCAGTGTCGCATGTGGTGATGATCTTGGCTTTGCTTTGTCTGCACAGAGTTGCGAATACAGTCCTGGTAGGGAGGTATTTTGGTCTGATAGCGGTGCAAGCAACCATTTTGTGAGTAACAGCTCCAAGATGTACAACATCTCGCCTGTCCCCCCCGGCAAAGAATTCATCAAAGTAGGCAATGGTGCTTATTTGCGCGTGGAGTGCGTAGGTAGTGTCAATCTGGCATTTCACATGGCAGGAGGTCGATCGGGAGAAGCGGATTTCTGTGTCCAATTGACAGACGTGTACGTAGTACCAGGGATTTCGTTCAACTTGTTCTCTCTGCACCACACGCAGAAAAAGCACAGGATAATGTTGGATGAGAGGGGTGTGCACCTTTTCGGTCGTCGGCTTAGTTTCGCATATTCGGATATCGGATGCTCTCTATCGGCCACCCGCTTGCCTCCCTCGTACCGCGACGGTGATGTAATCCCCTCTACCGTTGTCCCTCCCCCCGTTGTCCGCCAAGCGTCTCCGCCTGGTGTTGGTACTGGCCTTTTTGCGCAAAACCCCCCTCCCCCTTCTCAGATTTCAGGATCGGGTGCAGGATGCGGTCCGAGTTCCAGCTTCCCGTCCATCGGTCCCGCCGGTGTTGTACCTTCGGCTTCGAGTTTCCCGTCCATCGGTCCCGCCGGTGTTGTACCTTCGGCTTCGAGCTTCCCGCCCATCGGCGCTGCCGGTGTCGTACCTTCGAGTTCGAGCATCCCGTCCACCACTTCCGGTGTAGTACCTCCGAGTGATGCTTCCCCGCCTATCGATGTTGATTTAGTGTCTCCGTCGATCCGAGATTTTCAGCCTGCCCTAGCCGCAGCCATCGCCTCATCCGACGTCCTGTCCCCCTCAGTCGTGAACCCGAATGTGTCGCGAGAGATAGAGATCATGCCCCTTGAGTCCCAGGATAATTTGCCTTTGATGGACATGAGTATGTTCTTGGATGTAGGCTTGATGAACGGACAGGACTCGGTCCCGCCGGGTAACTTTTATCCCGACCCATTAGGCGTATGTGAGTCCGTGAAGCCCCCCGTTGCGTTCGCTGTGATGCAAGATGAGTTGGACGTGCTCAGAGACTTTGTTGTCGAGTGCCGTGTGCAGCAAGATGTAGGTCCCCCCTCCCTTTCCCATGCTTTGGCGATTATCGCCCCCGGTGGTCCAGCGTTCACTGTAGGAAAACCCACGTCCACCATCGACATTAATTTGTTCCACGCTTCCACCGGCCACGTGAATGAATTCTTGATGAGGGAAACCGCAAAGCAGCAGGGTGTTCAATTGGTGGGGGAACTGCAGCCATGCGTCGGCTGCATCGAGGCGAAGGGCAGGAGGGCCCCGGTGCCGCGGCGTGGAGTCACCCGCGCGGCGGTACCGTTCGGCAAGGTACACATCGACATCACCGGCCCGTACTCTGAGGCGTTCGATGGTTCTCGTTACCTGATCATGTTCGTGGACAGCGCGTCGCGGTGGCAACGGGCGTACGGCATGCGGGCCAAGAGCGACACCCTGACGTACACGCGGCGCTTCCTCGCCGACCTGAACGGCAACGGTACTCCGGGGTGTTTCCGCATGGACAACGGTGGTGAGTTCACCAGTGCTGCCTTCGTCGAGTTCTGCGACGCCGCTGGCATCCGGCGCGAGTACACCGCGCCCGACACCCCGAAGCAGAATGCGGTCGTCGAGAGCGCAATCTGGCGCGCTATGAAGGGGGGCCACGCCGCCCGTCGCCACGTCCTCTCCATGGGCCACGTCGACCTCGCCTCTATCCCCGGTATGGACGCCAACGGACACCGGCTGTGGCTTGCATCGGCGATCTGGGCCTCCGGCTGCTTCAACCGTTCCGCGACGTCGGCCAACCCGGCCTGGATGTCGCCGTTCGAGGCCTTCTTCGGACGTAAACCGCCGCTCAACGTCGTCCCTTTTTTCCAGGAGGGGATGATGCGCGTGAAGCGCGCCAGCAAGGCGGACGTCCAATCCGTGCGTTGCTTCTACATGCACGGAGCGCGCAACCACTCCGCCGCCACTGCCGTCGTTCTCCGCGCCGACACCGGAAGGATCTGCCTGTCCAACAACGTCGTGTGGATCAACCGCCGCACCGCCGTGCCGGCGCCGGTACCGGCCAGCGGGGGGGGCTCTTCGGTCACCGCGGCGCCCTCGCCGGCCGCCGCCGTTCCTGCAGCCGCTGCCGCACCGCCACCGCCATGGGCATCGCGGACGTACACCTACACCCCGCCCACAGCGACCACCGCTTCGCCGCCGCCCACTTCTCCGTCGATCTTCACAGAGTCCGGAGCCGCGTCGCCGATCTCCACGGCGTCTTCGAGTGCACCGCCGTCCACCGCAGCCACGCCGCCCCGTCCACCGCCGACACCCCCGCCCGCAAGCGCCGCCGCTCCCGCTCCCCATCACCCGCCGCTTTCACAGCGAGCCGTCAGAGAATTGGGCGAGAAGGAAACCAGAGTGCATGGCCGTACGCGCGGCGACCGAGTGCGCTTCATGGATGAGCAACAGCAACCGCCGTCGCCGTCAGGTGGCGGCACCGCTCTCCAAACACCGCCTTGGGCTGCTGTCGATGATGGGCAAGGATGCGCTCGTCTCGTCGCTCGCCACCCGGGAGGCCGTCGATCAAGGACGTCGAGACCTGCCACCGTCCGCCAGCATCGCCCCTCCCGCTCCCCCACCGCCGCAAGATACGAGTTTAGCAGGCCATGGGAGCGGGGGGGCCGCAGGAGCTGGAGGGCCGGGGGGCCTGCACATGTTCGCAGCAATGTTCGCCACCCGCGAGGACGTGGAAGCCACTCTTCGTGCCAAGCGCCCTCCTGACAAGATGCCGGACCTCCCTCACTGCCTCGCCAGCGACCTCCGAGTGCCGAAAACGTTCAAGGAGGCCATGCGGTCTCAACATTCAGAGTTGTGGGATGATGCAGTCGGTCGGGAGTTTTTCGGTCTGTTGGATGCAGGTACTTTTAGTCCGGTGTAGCAACCAGTAGAAAACTTCATCAACGCCAAGTGGGTATTCAACTGTAAGGCAGACGAGTACGGATGGCCGACGAAATTCAAGGCAAGACTTGTAGCGCGGGGGGACATGCAGAGGGCTTCGATTGATTTTGGAGAATTGTTTGCACCCACCGTATCCGTGTCTAGTGTGCGTTTGTTGGCAGCTTTGGCATGTGAGCAGAACCTTGACTTGTGTCATTTCGATATTCAGCAGGCGTTTGTGCAGTCTGAGCTTGAAGAGGATGTTTTCATGCGTCTCCCGCGAAGGTTGTGGTAGGTTATCTGGACTGATCGTGAAGCTATGCAAGAGTCTGTACGGTTTGAAGCAGGCGTCACGACAATGGCATGCGCACCTGACGAGGTGTTTGTTACTTTTAGGATTTGTACAATGTTTGGCGGATGCATGTGTTTTTCGATTTATGGAGGATGGATGTGTGATCATGATCATCGTGGTCCACGTGGATGACATTTTTGCCGTAGGGCAGAAGGAGAGATGTGACAAGTTTGGCAGAGACCTCAACGAGATGGTCCCCGTGAAGAACCTTGGGGAGTTGAGGTGGTACTCCGCGTGCTTTTACCAGAGAGATCTAGAGAGAGGCCTTTTGAGGATCTCGCAGCAAAGGTTTGCAGAAGAGTTGGCTGCAGAGTACGGCGTAGAGTGGGGGAAGAGTGTGCCCTTGCCTGTGAGCATGAAGCTCACCGACTTTGACGAGGACGAAGCGTGTGCTGATGTCCCTTTCCGCGAGTTGGTAGGATCCCTGATGTGGTTGGCCACTCAAACCAGGCCGGACATCGCGAATGCAGTACGAGCAGTAGCGCGGTATTGCGCGTCTCCCAAGATGGTGCACTGGAAGGCAGCACTTGGTATTTTAGGGTACGTGCGTAGGACGAGTTGGATGGGGATTACATTTGAGAGGGGTGTAGTGACTGGCATGAGCATGCAGGTGTTTGTGGATGCTGACTATGCGAGCAAGGCAGCAGACCGTAGGTCGGTTTCAGGAGGACTAGTGATGTGTGGGGGTGGGTGTGTGACTTGGTTTTCGAGGACGCAGAAGTGCGTTACGCTTTCCACAACGGAAGCAGAGTATGTGGCAATTGCCGACGTCTTGAAGGAGGTGCTTTTCTTGAGGCAAGTTTGGCGTTTTATGTTGCCAGATGCAGGTATGCCGTGCATTCAAATCTTCGAGGATAATCAGGGAGCGATTCAGATTGCGCACAACCCGATCACGAACTCAAACTCGAAGCACATTGATGTACGGCATCACTTTATCAGGGAACTGGTAGAGAGGAAGGAGATTTCGATTACTCATGTGGCGTCGGAGTTTCAGCATGCAGATTTCTTGACGAAGGCTATCAGCAAGGAATCTTTTGCGTTGCACAGAGACTTTGTGATGAATTTGCAGTGACAGAGGTGTTTTGGGATCAAATCGTGCTTTGCCGTTGAGTGGAAGAGAGAGGATATGTACGAGTTTGAACAAGAGATAGAGAGGGTCAAGTGGAGATGGTAGTGTTTTGGAAGGTTAATGTTCGGGATTTTTCTTGATGATTTGGAAGAGTTGGTATGCGATTGATTGTTTTTGGAGGTATTGTTTTGGTGTTGGAGTTTTCGATTTTGTCTTGGTTTTGATTTGTTTTGGGATGAACTGGTATGATAAGGATGACTTTGATATTTTGTTGGAGCATGACGATGCATACGAGCAGGGGGGCTATTCGATATACTCGTAGCATAGCATGGGGGTGGTATATTGCGTATACATATGCGGGGATTGCAGTGACGAACTACGGAGGGACAAGAAGTTTCTTTGTGTTTTCCTTGGGAGTGTAGTAGATTGGTGGAGATTCATGGAGATTCGTTCTGGGTATTAAAGCGTTATGCGTGACTTGATGCCGTGATGGAATGACGAGCTCAAGCACGCCCCCGATGAATACAACACGTTTTTCACCACGTCTACACGTCTTTACCTACCCGTGCGGCCCGTCATGGCCGAGCTGCTCTACGCTCCCATCACACACAACTGAGCCACCCGAATTATCGATCAGATTCCGCTGCGGCTGAGGCAAGCTCTTGGCAGCTGGAGGAGGTGCTGGCTTGTAGCGAGGACGAGACGCTCGATGTTGGTGGGGAGGAGGAAGCTGCTGGGCTTCCTTTCGACGCCGCCGAAGGCGAAGATAGCGATGACGAGCCCTCGCCTGCAGGTGGTGCAGGCCTCTGGGACCCATCTCTAGGTATGGCAGGCTATAAACGTATGGGTATGGCAGGTT